TCTTCAGTTTTTTTCTTCCTCCAATATTTTGTTTACTTTGCTTAGCTGGGGGATTTCACACCGCCAACTTTTGGCCATTAAAATGGCATTGATGATTATTAGGGTGCGTCTCCCTCTTTGACAATTTCATAGATAAACACAAAATGTCCAACACACGCTGCCAATACGCTCCAACGAAGATGCTGCGTGCTTTTTACCAGATACGGCGGTTTCAATATCGGCGGAGATTTGTCTCCTAATTTAGCATAGATTTTTTCAAACATTTTTTTTTTTTTCAAAATAAATACAAAACTATTTGGCACACCCTTGCCAAAAAAAAATACCTAGAAAGACAGCCATTTGACCATAACCAGAGGCATTTAAACGGGACAAGCGGTTAAAGACCGCGCACCAAAAGACTTAACCGCAACAAACATTGTTTCGTTTACGTGCCTGGCATTTTTTGTTTTTTAATAATTTTGTTTTTAATTTAATGTTCGCATGTCGTTTTCTTGGCAACTACCAATCAATATGAGAGTTAATGTGAACCAATATCAGTTTTTTCCGAACAGGGGGACTTTTTTTGAAAAAAGGAACTTTTTCCAAAAGGGGGACTTTTAAGAATAGGGTAGATTCGATAACTTCCAGAAGATTAAATCCCATAACAAAGATTCTTAATTAAATATCCCACATTACATGACTCCTCTAAAAAAGGTTTCCCATCACTCACCTTTGTCATACCCTTTTAGTCTGACTCCAACGCGCAAAAAAATCCCCCCATCACACAAAAGTTCTTCTTCCCTCGAACAGGAATTATGAATTTTGTTCTACTTTCAAGGTTACATCTACTATTGAACTCAAACCACAACTTGACAACATGCCTGCGAACTCGCAGACATTAAAGTTGTAAGCCAACCCTAAAACATCTGCCTAACTCCGCTTGGAAACCACAAACATAAAGTCTGTGTAGGTTTAGACTTTTTAATTTGAGCGATGACCTTGCAGAAATATTTTGCAGACGCATTTTAACTTCCTGATTTTTTACAGGATTGTTGTGTTGTTTCATGTCTTCTTTTTTATTGTTAATTCTAGTGAATTATTGATTCGAACCACAGACAAACTGCATTCTTTGCCAGAAGACAAACAGATAGGCCCTTAACATTAAAAACCGGTATTTTATGGAAAGACGAAACCGTCTTCTATAAACAAATACCAGATGGCATTCTGTGAAAAAGGAATAACTGGTCTTCAGAAGATACCAACTGGTCTTCTATGAGAGAGGAGACCAATTTTTCTTCTGTGAGAGAGAAGACCAACTGGCCTTCTATGTGAGAGAAGGCAAACTTATTCTTCAGGAAAGAGAGAGAGAGAACACCAAGGTCGTCCAGGAGAGTGAAGACCCCCTGGTCTTCTGGGGGAAACGACCCCCTGGTCTTCTGTGGGAGAAGACCAACTGGTCTTCTGTGGGAGACGACCAACTGGTCTTCTGGGGGAGAAGACCATCTGGTCTTCTGGGGGAGAAGACCAACTGGTCTTCTGGGAGAGAAGAACACCTGGTGTTCTAGGGGAGAAGAACACCTGGTCTTCTAGGGGAGAAGAACACCTGGTCTTCTGAGGGAGAAGAACACCTTGTCTTCTGGGAGAGAAGAACACCTGGTCTTCCGGGGGAGAAACCACCTGGCCCTCTGTGAGAGTAGCTTTGTCTGCTCTTTTCTGAGAAAAAGAGCTTCTACTCTTTTCTTCTATATATTCTTCTACAAGAAGAAGAGGTTCTGCTCTTCTACGAGTAGAAGAGCTTCCCCTTTTCTTCAAAAAGAAAGAGAACTTCTGCTCTCCTACAAGGAGATCTTCTGACCTTCTACAAGAAAAAGAGTTCCTGCTTTTCTACAAGAAGAAGTGTTTCTGCTCTACTTCTACAGGAAGAGCTACTGCTCTAAAAAAAGAAGAGCTTCTGCTCTACTCTGCAGGAAGAGCTACTGCTCTTCTAAGAAAGGAAGAACTTCTGCTCTACTTCTACAGGATCTTCTATGAGAAGATCTACAGATCTTCTATGAGAAGATCTACAGATCTTCTATGAGAAGATCTACAGATCTTCTACGAGAAGATCTACAGATCTTCTATGAGAAGATCTGGAGATCTTCTCATAGAAGATCTGTAGATCTTCTATGAGAAGATCTCCAGATCTTCTATAAGAAGATCTCCAGATCTTCTATGAGATGATCTCCAGATCTTCTATGAGAAGATCTCCAGATCTTCTATGAGAAGTAAAGGGCTGCAAATGTGACAATTTTCTCTATTTATGCCATGGAGAGAAAACGCTCGTCATGTTATGCCCTGTTTGATCAAACGCATAACAGTACGTGACATCCAACCAAATGCTCGATGTCTCGTCATGTCGGTCACATTCAAACCGATCGTCATAACATGTAATGACCAATAAAATGGAATGTTGAATAGTGTGTCATACAAAAATGTTCTATCAAAAAAACAACAACAATTATGAAGCAATTGCCAACGAAAAGACACACACGTGATGAAGGCACAGCGCAATCGCTACCTGCTTTTCCGATATGTAAAAAAATAAAATTTTTGTAATAAAGAAACACGAAACATTCACATTTCGTGTTTTTGTTAATCCTTATTAAAAAAAAAAAACAATAATCCCCTGAATTGTTGATTATAATTTCATAAATGTTTGCCTCCGTTAGTGAGGTGTAAATGAGAATGAGTGCTACTTTAATTCATGTAACAACACTATATACTTCCATTGTTCAATTCTGTGCATATTCTGTTATTGAATGAGAATCAAGTCTCTGTCCACAAACTTTAATTTTAAAAGAACTCTTTATGTAGGTAGAAAATAGGCAAACAATATTTACCTCTTTTTTATGACCAAAATTTTACGATAATCATCAATAAATTGGGATTGTTCAGTATATGTTTCATTTTTTTCTATTCATTTGTTGATGTCAATGCACATTTTGTTATTGAACTCAATTTTATATTTACGCGGTGTTTGTTACTTCAAAATTACAGCATACACAAAAACACATCCTCACCGTCGAAAGTAACACACACACACTCTCAATTTAAGCACACGTACACAAATGACACACAATTTGACGATGACACGGTTCGATGTGATCGTTGACACCCTGCAATTTTCGAGAACACCATGCAAATATTCGAGTCAGCCATGCCACGATCGAACCTTAGACAATGGCACACATGAATCAAAATGGGGGATGTTGTTGGTTGTCATTGCTTTTCAAATACATAGCGCATGATTGAGTAGACAAAGTCAGTGTGTCGAAAAAAGCATAATTCATATAATTCGTCTTGTGCAGGCCTTTTATGAGAAGATCTCCAGATCTTCTATGAGAAGATCTCCAGATCTTCTATGAGAAGATCTCCAGATCTTCTATGAGAAGATCTCCAGATCTTCTATGAGAAGATCTCCAGATCTTCTATGAGAAGATCTCCAGATCTTCTATGAGAAGATCTCCAGATCTTCTATGAGAAGATCTCCAGATCTTCTATGAGAAGATCTCCAGATCTTCTATGAGAAGATCTCCAGATCTTCTATGAGAAGATCTCCAGATCTTCTATGAGAAGGTCTCCAGGTCTTCTTTGAGAAGATCTCCAGATCTTTTATGAGGGAACCTCCAACTCTTCTATGAGAAGAGCGTCTGCTCTTCTATGAGAAGAGCGTCTGCTCTTCTATGAGAAGACCTTCAGATCTTCTATGAGAAGACATTCAGATCTTCTATGAGAAGACCTTCAGATCTTCTATGAGAAGACCTTCAGATCTTCTATGAGAAGACCTTCAGATCTTCTATGAAAAGACCTCCAGATCTTCTATGAGAAAACCTTCAGATCTTTTATAAGAAGACCTCCAGACCTTCTATAAGAAGATCTCCAGATCGTCTATGGGAAGACCTCCAGATCTTCTATGAGAAGATCTCCAGATCTTCTATGAGAAGATCTCCAGATCGTCTATGAGAAGATCTCCAGATCTTCTATGAGAAGATCTCCAGATCTTCCATGAGAAGATCCTCAGATCTTCCATGAGAAGATCTCCATATCTTCTATGAGAAGATATCCAGATCTTCTATGAGAAGATATCCAGATCTTCTATGAGAAGATCTCCATATCTTCTATGAGAAGATCTCCAGATCTTCTATGAGAATATCTCCAGATCTTCTATGAAAAGATTTCCTGATCTTCTATGCGAAGATCTCCAGATCTTCTATGCGAAGATCTCCAGATCTTCTATGCGAAGATCGCCAGATCTTCTATGAGGAGATCTCCAGATCTTCTATGAGAACACCTCCAGATCTTCTATGAGAACACCTCCAGATCTTCTATGAGAAGACCTCCAGATCTTCTATGAGGGAACCTCCAACTCTTCTCTGAGGAGAGCGTCTGCTCTTCTATGAGAAGAAGACCCACTGCTTTTTCTATAAGAAGAGATTCTGCTCTTCTATAAGGAGACCATCTCGCCTGCTATGAAAGGACCTCCTCGACTTCTATAAGAAACAGTTATCGGCTTCCATAAGAAGACATTCGACTCTTCTATGAGAAGACGTTGAGGTCTTCTATAAGAAGACCTTTTGGTCTTCTAAAAGAAGGCCTTGGGGTCTTCTACAAGAAGACCTTGAGGTCTTCTATAAGAAGACCTTAAGAAGGCCTTCTCGTCTTCTATGAGAAGACTTCCACCATTGTTTGAGGAGACTTTCTGTTCTCGTATAGAATATCTTCTGTTTCGAGAACAAGTTCTGGTCTTCTTAGACAGCAATTCACAAGATAATCTCCGGTCATGAGAGTTCACATTGCCGCAACATGTGTATTAATGAAGAAACCATGACGTCTACAGCATTAATAATTACTTGCATCTTCCGATATGTTTAATGACAAATATTTATTTCTACCCCCCGATCAGATAACCGGTAGTATCTTCTTAACTTTTAATTGCACAAATGCACATTTCGAAAGGAAAAAAACTCTACATTTAAACTCACCTGACTCATGACTATTGTGACATCATCGGATTTCAAGCGTGCCACCATAATTGAAGCCACTGCCAAAATATAATCGCCGGCCATTGTAACCTGTTTTTTTTTTTTGCGGGTTGAAGAAAAGAACAAGAAACAAAATTAAATAAAATTAATGTAAACGGAAATCGCTAAAAGGCATCAGTAAATTTTATAGAATGATAACTGTAACGGTAATGTTGGTGTTGGTGTTTTTGTTGTTGCTGCATAATAAAAGAATTAAATTATCGCCACTTCCATCGCAACGAGAGAGAGAAAAAAAGGCCATTCACGATAATCACCAGCCATTTATCACAGCTATTAATATGGGCCATAAACATTTATTGCTGTTGTTGTTGTTGCTGTTATAGTTTTACATATCTTTTGATCTTGATATAGCCAAAAAAAAAAAAAAAAAAAACTACACCTGGGCCATGAAACTGCAAAAGGTGTTTATTATTTTGCAAGTGTGCGGCTGTTTAAGTTTTTTTTGGCAGAATTGCCAGAATAAAAATTAAAACTTTACTTTAACTTGGAGTTTTGTTAAGTTGAAGGTTCTTTGCAGAGAGCGAGAGACAGATAACAATTTAATTGTGTTTATCGTTATGCCATTAAAACTAGTAGTCTTTGTATCTTTATTGCCTGAATTTGTTATCTGTCATAATTTACATGCTCAGAGACATGCTCGGTTTCTTACACGCCATAATTGCTGTATTAAATTGCAGTGCTTGAAATTCGGAATGCCACAAGAATTTTAAATAAAAAAAAAAAATTAATGTGTTTATATTAAGCAAAGGCTAAATTTTCAATTCATTTGATTTTAAATGGCCATATGGAAGAATTGTGAACATCCACTCATAAAAATAATAATTGACCATGCTTGCGTATAAGTGATGGCAACATGTATACGTCACTGTGGCGGCCAAGCACAACACATATTTCTAAGTTCAAATTTTAAGAAAACAACTAAAAATGTCTTTGAAAATATATATCGTAGAACGATTAATACATCTTTTGTGATTGATTTTTTTCCCAAACTTCGGGGGTCCATAAGCAAAATGCATCGGATTTTAATAAGTTGCTAGTAGAGTTGTTCTTTTCAATTTCTAAATGTCATATGTTGTTGGAAAATTTTAAACGTACACCATTTCGGATATCAAAAAATAATTAGAACAATTTAAAAAGCAGTAAGTTCGGCCGGGCCGAACTTTGAATACCCTCCACCATATGGAACGAATTTGGAAATATTCAAAAAATAAATTTAAAATTCTGTTAAAATCTTAAAAGTACAGAATATAGTCGTTATATTGGGGTCTATACGACGTGGGCCTACATAGGCATTGTTTGTCATAAGCCATTACCATATAAAAATATCGTGTATAGGGAGGTACCGTTATATAGGAGATGTGCGAAGACCTGGACCAGCATAGACAATTTTCTGTCACAGGCTGTAGCATCCATTACGAACTTCAAATACGACATCTCATACAATTTCGGTGAGTATTGTACCTAAAATCGTCAAAATAACGAATATAGGGAGGTACTGATATATGGGGCCTATACGAAGACCTGGACCTGCTTAAACAATTTTCTGTCGCAGACTGTAGTTCCCATAACGAAAAATAAATACGTAATTTGAAACAATTCTGGTGAATAATGACGCTAAAATCATCAAAATACCGAATATTGGGAGGTACCCTTATGGGGGCACAAACAATTTTCTGTCTTAGGGTGTAGTATCTATTACGAATCTTAAATACCAAATTTGAAACAATTCCGGTAAATAATATCGCTAAAATCATAAAAATACCGAATATTGGGAGGTACCATTATATGGGGGATATACGAAGACGTGGACCTGCACAGACAATTTTCTGTCATAGGCTGTAGTATCTATTACGAATCTCAAATACCTGATTTGAAACAATTCCGGTGAATAATGTCCCTAAAATCATCAAAATACCGAAAATCAGGAGGTACCGTTATATGGGGGCTATACGAAGTCGTGGACCTACACAGACAATTTTCTGTCATAGGCTGTAGTATCCATTTCGCACTTCAAATACCAAATTTGAAACAATTCCGGTGAATAATGTCGATAAAATCATCAAAATACCGAATATCGGGAGGTACCGTTATATGGGGGCTATATGAAAACGAGGACCTACATGGCCCATTTACGAACTTAACCTGCCTACTGGAAAAATAAACACGTGTGCAAAATATAGCGTGATTACAACAGACAGTCCATACAAAACTGCATCGGATTGGAATACAGGCTGAGATGAAAAAACTGAAAGCAATTTCAGACTACTGTCATTTCTAAGCAACTCGTCCGACAGCTGTTAAAATTATTTTAGTGATAGCTCATTATATTGTTTACAAGCAAACAAAAGCATTTAGGTGAGAACTTTCCAGAAAAAAAAGTTATTCGTGATGGAATTCAAGCGTGATAGTTAGATTTCTTTGTATTTGGCTGGAAAACCACAGGTGGCACTCCAACATTTAAATGTGGATAAATCTTTTGTGTCTCGGATCATCGCTCGTTACCGTGATACTGATAACGTAGCCCGACGTCAAGGAAGTGGACGAAAGAAAACAGCCGTATCAGCAGAAATGGTTCAAAAAGTAAAGAAGCGACTTGATCGAAAGCCGCGTCGCAGTGGCCGAAAAATGGCTCGTGAGCTGAACATATCGCAATATTCCATTTGGCAAATATTGAAAAATGAGCTCGGGAAAGCCAAACATTCGCTGTCCAGCAGTTTGTAAATAAACAAAATGATCGTGTTTACCTGCCAAAGAGGTCAGCTGAAAGTGTGCACCTTCGGTTGGTCACCAGAACTCAAGCACCGGCCATAGTTATGTTAGCACTAAATGTTCACCCAAGACAAAATTTAGTACTATTTTGTGCTTTTCGTTCAATTATAGTACACATTAACCGTGATTCTCATAAAAATTTCAACTTTATAGCTATATCCGTTCACATAATGCCAAGTGGTACCATTTTAGAAGTCTAGTAACATTTCCTAAATTTAAAGTTCGAATTTCCAAAAACCCTTCGGTACATCTATCCTGCACTACCTCAGTGACTCTCGTTCCAAATTTGAAAAGTCCAGCGCAACGGTTGACACAATTTCAATTTGTACCAAATTTAGTACACATAAGTACGAATTTCCAAAGCTTCTTACATACCCCAATCCTACACTCAACCTATAATTACAATTTCAAATTTTAGGATTTCACCCCTGTTTGTTCATCACCCAAATACAAATTCTACTTTATTTACAAAAGTACAAATTTCCAAAAACAGCTACATTTCCCAATCCTACACTCTGACAGTAATCTTATTTCCAATTTTCAGGATACCAGCTCTATTGTTTCACCAAATTGTACCAAATTTATTACCATTAGGCGCATTTTAGTACAAATTTTTATGAGTACATAGAGTCCCATAGAAATCTTATTTTCAAATTTCAGGATTTCAACGTTACTGGTTCACATAAAAGTTAAAATGTACCAAATGTAGTACCATTTGGTACACATAAGTACGAATTTCCAAAACTACCCACATACCTAAGTCCTACAAGGCAAGAGCAATGTTATTTCCAAATTCCAGCTCTATTGGTTCTCCCAAAACTTAAATTGTACCAAATTTAGTACCATTTAGTACACATAAGTACGAATTTCCAAAACTACCTACCTTATTTATACATTTTAGAATCCCAGCTTTATCGGTTCACCCAAATCGAAATTTAGTACCATTTAGGACTAAACATGCACATAAGTATAAATTTCGAAAACTTCCTCCACATCCCGATTCTACACTCCGCCAGTAATTTTAAGCTCAAATTTCAGGATTCCATCTCCATCTGTTCCTCCAAATTCAAATTGGACTAAATTTCCAAAAATACGTCCTTACATCGACTCTACTCCTAAACCTTGATTCGCATTCCAAATTTCAAGTTTTTACCTCTAACCGTTCATATAATACGAAATTGTACCAAATGTAGTACATTTTAGTACTTTTCGTACACTTTTGGGGGAAACCTTTTTTCCAAAAAAAATGGTGGTACATTTATCATACACTCCACCAGTGACCCTTATTCCATATTTAAGAGTTCTTGCTCCTCTGCTACCTCAAATACAAAGGGTCTATAGAGACGACCTTCAAGCTCGTCTATAGAGACGACCTTCAAGCTCGTCTATAGAGACGACCTTCAAGCTCGTCTATAGAGACGACCTTCAAGCTCGTCTATAGAGACGACCTTCAAGCTCGTCTATAGAGACGACCTTCAAGCTCGTCTATAGAGACGACCTTCAAGCTCGTCTATAGAGACGACCTTCAAGCTCGTCTATAGAGACTACCTTTCAGCTCATCTATAGAGACGACTTTTATATCGTCTATAGACACGGGCCTTCAGGTCGTCTATAGAGACGGGCCTACAGGTCGTCTATAGAAACGGGCCTTTAGGTCATCCATAGAGACGAACCTTCAGGTTATCTATAAGGACAGTGACCCTCATTCCAAATTTAAGAGTTCTTGCTCCTCTGCTACCTCACAAACAAAGGGTACCATATTTAGTACCTTTTAATACTTTTCGAACCGTTCTATTACGAATTTCCAAAAACTCAGCCGTATCTGACCCCTTCAGACCAAGAGTGACCCCCACCCAAAATTTCTAGCTTCAGCCATTTGATGAATCGTTAGGTTATTCAGTCTGTAGATCAGTCAGTCAATTACTTTACTCTTTTATTATATCCTCCACCATACTATGGAGGGTATATTCATTTTGTCATTCCGTTTGTAACTCATGGAAATAATAATCTATTTTGTCTATTTTGCCAGTAGGCAGGTTAAGTTCGTAAATGGGCAATGTAGGTTCACGTTTTCATATAGCCCCCATATAACGGTACCTCCCGATATTCGGTATTTTGATGATTTTAGCGACAATATTCACCGGAATTGTTTCATATTTGGCATTTGAAGTTCGAAATTGATACTACAGCCTAAGGCAGAAAATTGTCTATGCAGGTCAAGGTCTTCGTATAGGACCCATATATCAGTACCTCCTTATATTCGATATTTTGACGATTTTAGGTACAATACTCACCGAAATTGTTTGAGATGTCGTACTTGAAGTTCGTAATGGAAGCTATAGCCTGTGACAGAAAATTTTCTATGCAGGTCCAGGTCTTCGTATAGCTCCTATATAACGGTACCTCCCTACGTACGGTATTTTGATAATTTTGGATACATTATTCACCGTTTATTTCAAGTTTCGAATTTGAATATGGCAATGGCATGTGACAAACAATGCCTATGTAGGTGCACGTCGTACAGGCCCTAATATAACGACTATATTCGGTATTTTTGAAATGTTAGCAGAATTTTTGGCGAATGTTATCTTTTTCGAAAATTTTCAAATTCGGTCTAAATGGTGGAGGCTAACTTACTGCTTTTTTACTTGTTATTGATATAGTTTTTTTTTATAGAATTAATTATGGGTAACAAATGCGATAATGGAGATTTTTCGAACATCACACTGTAAGAGGCTCTAAATAAGTTACAACCGTTCTGTTAGTTTCCTAACTATTATGCAACAACAATACATTCATTATTGGTATTAGGAACTTTAACAGTGCGATACTACATTATTTCTATGATGGCTAAAAATTGAAATATTACCCACCTTTTTATGATTCCATAAGACATTTACACTGGGTTTGCCGCGACGAAAATCAGACTGATCGATGACATCGTCGTGCACCAAACTGGCTGAGTGCACCATTTCAGAGAACATGGCGATTTGTCGTTGTTTATCCAAGAGTTCCCTGCAAAAAAAAACACACACAAAAGAAGACACACATTGATGATTATAAATAAATAAATAAATAAATAAATGAAAAAATTGCAACACAAAAAAAATCAGTTTGTATCAATTCAATAATTCAACATTGCAAAACACAGCAAAAAAAATGTTACAATAAAAAAAACCGAAAATCATCTAAAAAAATTGGGTTAATATCTGGCCAATAATTGTGGCAGGCAACTAATTATTGATACGTTACACGCCAATGACATACACATTTAATGCAGGGATGGAGAGGGGGGGAGGACATATTGCCTCTCTGTCGAAAGAAAACAATTGCAATTGTCCGACGCAGTGATTTATGCGAATTGCAAATAATGAGAAATAACAAGGCGCACAATATGTATGAATATATGTATGTATGTGTGTCCATCATTTACAGTGGGATTTTTTTTTTATTTATTTTTAATTATCGAAATTATTACAAAAATTCATTTTGATTTCTTCATAAAAATTGTCAGAAGTTATGTGCAATTTTCAAGCTAATTAAAATAATTGTTGCAGTTTTTATTTGGCCAGATAACTGTAAATGGTAACGCACTAAATTTTAATGATTATTTGAAAGTGTTTGGATAAGAGGATACGAGTTAGAGGCAACATGTTGCGAGTGATTGCCACGAAAACACATGTGTGTGTGCGTATCAGAGATGGGAAACCTAAAGTCATAGAAGGCATTTTCTTAGGTTTCCATTGGTCATACGTAGACTTAAAATGTTTGGTAGAATTTCGAAAAAGCAGCGGATCTTCTGTAATCGTTCCACAGTGGAGCTAAATTCATGCTATGGACTTTTGGAGATGGAAACTCTTATTTTATCGGAAATTTAATCGTATACTATTTTTATGCATGGAATTGTTATCAGGTCCTTTGTTATTTAGATATTTACATTAAAGACAACTATTAAATGTGTTCAAATACAGGGTGAGATGAAAAATCTGCAACCAATTTCAGACTGCTGTCATTTCTAAGCCATCATCTGACATATTTTAAAATTATTCCAGTGATATCTCATTATATTCTTTACAAGCGTACAAAAGCATTTTGGTGAGAATTTTTCAGAAAAAATTTTATTCGTGATGGAATTCAAGCGTGGTAGAGTGATTTCTTTATATTTGGCTGGAAAACCACAAGTGGCTATCGTTAGAGCACTGCAGCATTTAAATGTGAATAAATCTTTTGTGCCATCGCTCGTTACCGAAAAGCAAAGAAGCGACTTGATCGAAACCCGCATCGCAGTGGCCATAAAATGGCTCGTGGGCTAAACATAGCAATATTCCATTCGGCAAATATTGAAAAATTAGCTCGGGGTAAAGCCATTGAAATTCCAAAAAGTGCCAGAACACCACAAAAGAAAGAAAACAGACTCAAATGAGGTCAAGAGTTGCTTCGCTTGGCAGAAAGTGATGAACTACCGAATTTGGGTTTCTCCGATGAGAAAACATTCGTTATGCAGCAGTTTGTAAACAAACAAAATGATCGTGTTTACCTGCCAAAGAGATCAGCTGAGAATGTGCACCTTCGGTTGGCCACCGGAACTCAAGCGCCGGCCATGGTGATGGTGTGGGCCGCCATAGCAGCCGGTGGTCGCTCTCCGCTCGTATTAATCGACCGTGATCGATCAGAATAAATGCCGAAAATTATCACGAAAATATTATGGAGGGTGTATTAAAGCCTTGGTCACGTAAAACATTTTGGCAGTAGGCTTTGGACATTCCAATAGGACGCCATACACTCAGCACGCGCCACCAAAGAATGGTTACAAAATGAGATTCCTCGCTTCATTTCCAGCGCACAATGGTCACCAAAATCTCCGGATATCAATCCGTTGTGTCCTGGAATATTTCGGAAAGCAAGGTTGGCATTAAAAACTACCAAAGTGTCGATCACCTCAAGCAAACGCTTCACCAGGAATGGATCAAAATACCGCAGAGCAACAATCGGGCAGCGTGTGACAGTTTCATTGGCCGTTTGAAGGCCATAATTCGTGCCAAAGGCAATCAATTCGAACAAACCTAAACTTATTCTAAAATTTGATGATATTTCCGATATTTTTTGATTACATTAAAAAAAAATGTAAAAACTATGGCGTTTGACTTTGGTGCATTTTTTTCTATCTCACCCTGTATATCTGGAAGGCCTTCTATAAAATCTCCGAAATAAATGACTTTGGTGCATTTTTTTCTATCTCACCCTGTATATCTGGAAGGCCTTCTATAAAATCTCCGAAATAAATGACTTTGTTGCATTTTTTCTATCTCACCCTGTATATCTGGAAGACCTTCTATAAAATCTCCGAAATAATGGAAAAAAAACTTTCCAAAAAATACCTTCAAAATTTATCCTTAGACAGACGATATTCTACAGACCTCTGCAGATTTTCTACTATTGATAGAAGACCTACTTAAAATCTGACTGAAGAAGGCCAGTGCACGGGATTCTGTATAGAAGAGCTATGGGAGATTTTCAAACTATACAGAATACTTTTACATAGTCTTTTGAAGATTTTGAAGAGTCCTAAAATTAAGGTCGTCTCGACCTTTCACTTCGTCTATAAAGACGACCTTTCAGCTCGTCGTCTCTATAGAGACGACCTTTCAGCTCGTCTATAGAGACGAACGACCTTTCAGCTCGTCTATAGAGACGAACGACCTTTCAGCTCGTCTATAGAGACGAACGACCTTTCAGCTCGTCTATAGAGACGAACGACCTTTCAGCTCGTCTATAGAGACGACCTTTCAGCTCATCTATAAAGACGACCTTTCAGCTCGTCTATAAATAAGACTTTTCAGCTCGTCTTTACCTTTATAACTTTGAGTTATGTCAAAATTCCCACTGTCTGTGAATATTGAAATCAAAATCACATAAATATGTAGTCAATACGATAATGTCAGACATTATCGTTGATAAAATCATTAACAACGCGGCAACGGTAGCTGCATCACGTATGCAACCTGTTTCATGCTGCTGCTTCAATTACTTTAAACCAAAAAATGTTCATAACAAAAAAGAAAACAAAAAAATATTCAAGGAGCTTTTGACAATAAAATTATGGAATTCCAAGTTGAGACTTACCTTGATTCTTTGTTCAAATGATAATTTATGGCTTTGGACATGAGTAGTGTAATCATGGGTCTTAGGGCTTTGCCCTGACCATCAATATAGTAATTGGCAATGGTGTCCAGTTCCATTTGAGTTGTGCCTTGTGAAAGTAACTGGAGAGAGAGAAAAGAGAATAATTAAATAAAAAATAATGAATAATAGAGAGATGTCAATGAAATACTCCTTTAAGCTCTCCTGAAAATACCCTCTCAAATTCATCTAAAATGTCTTCCTTTACGTGGCAAAAAGAACTCCCTTACGTTTGTTTCTTTAGACTTCCTTCACCTCGTTTATAGAGACTCCCTGCCTCCATAGTTCGTCTATAGAGGCTACCTGCCTTCACAGATCGTCCATAGAGACTTCCTACCTTAGAGACTCCCGGCCTCACAGCTCGTTTATAGAGACTCCCTGCCTTCACAGCTCGTCTATTGAGACTCCTTGCCTTCACATCTTGTCTTTAGAGACTTCCTACTTTACTGCTCATCTATGAAGGCTCCCTGTCTTCACAGCTTGTCTATAGAGACTCCCAGCCTCACAGCTCGTTTATAGAGACTCCCTACCATTTCAGCTTGTCTATAGAAACTCCCTGCCTTTACATCTTGTCTATAGAGACTCCCTACCTTCACAGCTAGTCTTTAGAGACTCCCTGCATTTACAGCTTGTCTATAGATTCCCCGCATTCAAATCTCGTCTATAAAGACTCCCTGCCTTCACAGCTCGTCTATAAAGACTCCCTGCCTTCACAGCTCGTCTATAAAGACTCTCTGCCTTCACAGCTCGTCTATAAAGACGCTCTGCCTTCACAGCTCGCCTATAAAGACTCTCTGCCTTCACAGCTCGCCTATAAAGACTCTCTGCCTTCACAGCTCGTCTATAAAGACTCTCTGCCTTCACAGCTCGTCTATAAAGACTATCCGCCTTCAAAGCTCGTCTATAACGACTCTCTGCCTTCACAGCTCGTCTATAACGACTCTCTGCCTTCACAGCTCGTCGATAAAGACTCTCTGCCTTCACAGCTCGTCTATAAAGACTCTCTGCCTTCACAGCTCGTCTATAAAGACTCTCTGCCTTCACAGCTCGTCTATAAAGACTCTCTGCCTTCACAGCTCGTCTATAAAGACTCTCTGTCTTCACAGCTCGTCTATAAAGACTCTCTGCCTTCACAGCTCGTCTATAAAGACTCCCTGCCTTCCCAGCTTGTCTATAAAGACTCCCTGCCTTCACAGCTTGTCTATAAAGACTCCCTGCCTTCAGCTCGTCTATAAAGACTCCCTGCCTTCACATCTCGTCTATAAAGACTCCCTGCCTTCACATCTCGTCTATAAAGACTCCCTGCCTTCAGCTCGTCTATAGAGACTCCCTGCCTTCAGCTCGTCTATAGAGACTCCCTACCTTCAGCTCGTCTATAAAGACTCCCTGCCTTCACATCTCGTTTATAAAGACTCCCTGCCTTCAGCTCGTCTATAAACACTCCCTGCCTTCCCAGCTTGTCTATAAAGACACCCTGCCTTCCCAGTGTGTCTATATAGACTCCCTGCCTTCCCAGCTTGTCTATATAGACTCCCTGCCTTCCCAGCTTGTCTATAAATACTCCCTGCCTTCCCAGCTTGTCTGTATAGACTCCCAGGCTCACAGTTCGTCTATAGAGACTCCCTGCCTTCACAGCTTGTCTATAGAGACTCCCTCCCTTCACAGCTCGTCTATAGGGAATCCCTGCTTCACAGGTCGTCTATAGAGACTCCCTGCCTTCAGAGCACGTCTATAGAGACTCCCTGTCTCACAGCTCTCCTATAGAGACTCCCAGCCTCACAGCTCGTCTATAGAGACTCCCAGCCTCACAGATTGTCTATAGAGACTCCCTGCCTTCACAGCTCGTCTATAGAGACTCCCTGCCTTCACAGCTCTTCTATAGAGACTCCCTGCCTTCCCAGCTTGTCTATAGAGATTCCCTGCCTTCACAGCTCTTCTATAGAGACTCCCTGCCTTCACAGCTGTCTATAGATACTCCCTGCTTCAGAACACGTCCATAGAGGCTATTCGCTTCACAAGTCGTCGTTAGAAACTCCTTCTACCTTCCACTCTATAGAGACTTTCTTCAGCACGTCTATAAATTCCATACTTACATCTCTAATGTCTTCGTAAAAGTACTTCAGCTCTTCGTCCATTATAATGTAAGGATCTATTTGGATTTCACGCACGGGTCCAGCCGGTTGTTGGGTATGGACGGAGCTGTAACGGCGGCAGTTTGCTTTGCCATTTGTGCATTTGGCCTTGGTGTGTGACGTTGATGGTTTGTCGGAATTTAACTGCAAAGAAAAGGAACAACACAAAATACAATATTAATAAAATTAACAATAACATACATTTACAACAACAAAAAATAACTTCAAATATAATTTATTTTTAATAACTGCAAATTTTATGTTTAAAAACTATTTTTTTGTTTTTTTCAAAAAAATTTCGTCACTTATTTTACACTAGACCGTCATCTATAGAAGAGGAATAACAATAAGGCATGAAATTTGAAAATTTTAAACTAAAACTAATTACAACATCATTCATTCTCTGCAATCCATGAGTGTTGGGGAAGGGGTAGAGCGGAGCAAGAAGATAAAACACACAACAACTTCAGGGGGACCGACTTAAATGAATTTGTTTCGTTTAAATACCACTTAACAACTTTACAATTGCTGCAATTATACCAGGCTCGGCTGGCTCTTGGTATCTGAGAGCGGAGAGAAGAGGTGAACAACATGTGGAATATAGTAAATCCTATGGTGTTTTTCAGCTAACATTTCAATCATTATTCGCTTTTCGGTCGTTCAGCGGCTGTGGAACACCTTGCCTGTCGCATGTGTCGGTTGGTTGGTATCTTGGTTATAAATGACTATTTTTTTATTACCAACAATTGTCAGAGAGACACACTTTCAGCCTAGCCGCCAAAAAATCTTCAAACATCATTGACGCGTGTCTCGGTCTAACACTCAGGTGGCATTAAAAGGTGGCAACAAAGAGCGACACATACATAGAAGCACCACCGCAATTGCAACAAATTACTAAATTATAGTTGGGCAAATGTGTAAATTTAACAATTACTTAGGCAGTTGAAGGTGGAGGGGAGGGGGAAATTTTTGAGTCAGGAAGTCTCTTTAAACGATCTGTGAAAAAGGGAGTCTCTATGGACAAGCTGAAGCTACAGGGAGTCTCTCTGGACGAGCTGAAGCTGAAGGGAGTCTCTATAGACGAGCTGAAGCTGAAGGGAGTCTCTATAGACGAGTTGAAGCTGAAGGGAGTATCTATAGACGAGCTGAAGCTGAAGGGAGTCTCTATAGACGAGCTGAAGCTGAAGGGAGTATCTATAGACGAGCTGAAGCTGAAGGGAGTATCTATAGACGAGCTGAAGCTGAAGGGAGTCTCTATAGACCAGCTGAAGCTGAAGGGAGTCTCTATAGACGAGCTGAAGCTGAAGGGAGTCTCTATAGACGAGCTGAAGCTGAAGGGAGTCTCTATAGACCAGCTGAAGCTGAAGGGAGTCTCTTTAGACGAGCGGAGCAAGAATCTCTTCAGAGGAGCTCTCTCTATAAAACAGCTGATAATCGTCTCGATAGACGAGCCGCGATGGTCGTCTCGATAGACGAGATGAAGTCTGTCTTTATAAACGAACCGAGGGCTGTCTTTATAGACGAACATAAGACCTACAGTTGCTCTTCTGGGTGCAGAAGACCTTCTGCAGCTCTTCTATGGCTAGAAGACCTTCTGCAGCTCTTCTATGGCTAGAAGACCTTCTGCAGCTCTTCTATGGCTAGAAGACCTTCTGCAGCTCTTCTATGGCTAGAAGACCTTCTGCAGCTCTTCTATGGCCCGAAGACCTTCTGCAGCTCTTCTATGGCTAGAAGACCTCCTGCAGCTCTTCTATGGCTAGAAGACCTTCTGCAGCTCTTCTATGGCTAGAAGACCTCCTGCAGTTCTTCTATGGCTAGAAGACCTCCTGCAGCTCTTCTATGGCTAGAAGACCTTCTGCAGCTCTTCTATGGCTAGAAGATCTTCTGCAGCTCTTCTATGGCTAGAAGACCTTCTGCAGCTCTTCTATGGCGAGAAGACCTTCTGCAGCTCTTCTATGGCTAGAAGACCTTCTGCAGCTCTTCTATGGCTAGAAGACCTTCTGCAGCTCTTCTATGGCTAGAAGACCTTCTGCAGCTCTTCTATGGCTAGAAGATCTTCTGCAGCTCTTCTATGGCTAGAAGACCTTCTGCAGCTCTTCTATGGCTAGAAGACCTGCTGCAGCTCTTATATGGCTAAAAGACCTGCTACAGCTCTTCTATGGCTAGAAGACCTTCTGCAGCTCTTCTATGGCTAGAAGACCTGCTAAAGCTCTTCTACGGCTCGAAGACCTGCTACAGCTTTTCTATGGCTAGAAGACCTTCTGCAGCTCTTCTGTGCCTATAATACCTTTTCGAATACTTTAATACATATCAAAAACCTCCCTCCACTTATCTATTAATACAAATAGACAATTTCAAAATCCATGATCGAAGGTGTGTATCACCAAATTGTATTTAGCTATGAAATGAGGTCTGATTCTAAGGTTATATGGTTATGCTGCCATATCAAGATAATCTTTGATTATAAAAATAAATATTAGTTTTAAATTCACAACTTAGGAGGAGACCGGAGAGCGTAGACCAGAGGCTATGGATGGCATGAATGCCGTTGCAAATATGATAAGTCAACAATTTGGAATGCTACTCAAGACACTAAAGCACCATAGAAGACCAAATATTGATCTGAAATGGCGATGGTGGAGAGTGGGGGGGGGGGGGGGGGCAGCAGATAATGGCTATGATGGTGCTGGCGACGTCAACAATGTTGGACAAATAGCCTCTAGTTGTCCGGCTAATAGTTCAATGAGAAGGAAGGCGTTATGAATATTGATGATGCTGCTGCTGGGTGATGGCTTGGTGATCACCATAGAGACAGCATGAAATGGAGGGAATTGAAACTGAAAGGCTTGTCTGGCTGACTACATGTTGTTGTTCTTCTTCTTCTTATTGTTGACAAAACATGACAACAAAACAATCAATAAAACCCCATTTCAAATACCATGTCCAAAATTACATAATTCTTCAAAGCATTGAAGGCATTGTCTAGCTGATGTTTGCCATCTGCCGAAGAAGAAACTCAATAAACACTCAACTAAATGTAAATTCAATGAATATTTGTTATAACATGTGTATTTATTTAATAAAGATTGGATGGGCTACTGAGAAAAAAAACTGGTTTGGAATGAGTTTCCCAAGGAAGATTTTAAAAGTTTAAAATTTTATTAAAAAAAAAAAAAACATTTTAAAGTGGCCCACCCTGCAAACTGTTTGGGTAAATGGGTCATTGGCATATTTTTCTAATCTATTTACATATTCAATCAATTATATCTAAGTAAAAAGTTGTTGTTGTTGTTTGGTCACATTCTGACCTGTGTTTGATATTTCGAAATTGTTTTGACGCACAAGATTTTAATTGTCTGTTGTAAGACCTAATTTAAATAATTGCAGGCAAACCTATCGATTACATCGTTTATGGATAACTAATTGTTTAATTATCTTAGCGCAGATAATTGCATTAATAAATGCAAAATACAAATCTCAACTGTTTTTTATTAATTAAATTGTTTTTTTTTTTTTTTTTGACTGTTTCATTAGCCGTTTGAAAGCCATAATTTTATTTTATTTTTTTTTTCATTAATATATTATAATTACATTATTTTACGAAGCCTGTAAAAGGCTTGTCTGTAAATAGTATTTATAAATATGTATATACAGATTTAATCTTATCCATTGCTATAGACTTCATTTTTTAGTACTACATCATTTTATTACTTTTGCAAATAATATTTTTTTATGTTTTTTATTCTACATATTTTATGTTTAATTTCTGGAATCTCCTTTAGAAGTTCGTTAAGGGTGCTTGGTAGAGCGACATCTAGAGCGAGCATTCCATATTCGTTTTTAAATTTCGGTATTTTGTAACGTCCTTCAAGTCTTCTCCGGGTATTTTGTTCGTGGTTAATTTTCTCAGCTAGGTTTCGGTCGTCAGCGAATTCACCTACAATTGCAATTGAAAATATTTGTTTTATATTAAGGATTTCTATGTTTTTGTATATCTGGCTTATGTTGTTGGTTGACACTGTTACATTTCCGTTATTGTACGAATGGTATGATTTTTTATGTAGATATTTAACAATTCGGTTCTGTGTTTCTTGTAACATTCTACAGCATCTGGCATTTCCCCATGCTGTAATGCCATGTCGTAAATGCGATTCTACTAGGGAATAGTATGCTTGCTTCAATATAAAGAAGGGTGCATAGTTGCCTAGATGATAAAGCGCAAACGCTGATTTTCTTAACTTTTTCTGTAGTTTTTCGATGTGATCTTTCCATTTAAAGTGTTGATCCAAATAAATTCCCAAGTACTTATAATTTTCAACGATTTCTAAATTCATGGTACATTTTTCTTGATTTCTCGTTAATGTGTTTCCGTGTATGCATTCATTATCATGAAATATGATCCGAATATTGTGTTTGGGAGAACTTTTAGGTCTGATATGCAGAATCTTAGTTTTATTTGGGTTTATAATCAAGCCGTAATCGTGGCACCATTTCGTTATTATATTAAATTCCTGCTGCATTGTTGACGTTGCCTCATTTATATCCGAATGTGATACAATTATTGCAGTATCATCAGCGTATGTGTACGAAGAACTGTTGTGTAGATTGAGCGTCATTTCATTGGAATATATTAAATATAATATTGGACCCAATTTTGATCCCTGTGGAACACCGTATTGTGTTGGAAGTTCATGGCTGTTTGTGTTATCAATTCTGACTCTAAACGACCTGTATGTGAGATAGTCTTGAAACCATTTCAAACATCTGCCTCTTATTCCAGTTTTTTCTAGCACATTTACTATTTTTTCATGCGACAAAGTGTCGAAAGCTTTACTGAAATCTATGAAAAGAGCGATGCATTGTTTTTGTTGACTTAAGTTTTTATTTATATGGTTTGAAAAGTGGCCTAGGAGTTGATTGATATTCTTGTTTTTTTGGAAGCCATATTGGTTTCTATTTATTATTTTATATTTGGTTAAGAAGCTGTTCAGTCTTCGCACTATAACCTCTTCCAGAACTTTTTCTAATATAGGAAGGATTGATATCGGTCTATAGTTGGCGTAATCTGCCTTACTTCCTCCTTTGTATATGGGTCTGATAAGTGATTGTTTGAGTATCTGGGGTATCGACGCTTCAGATATGCT